CTCTGTATCATGAGCACACGCATGCCATGTGTACACGGGCCGTGTACTCACAGTGGTGTGTTGAGACCTCTGGTACGTACTAGTAAAGCCACCCAAAGAGAGACGACACACAGTAACCAACACTGTCTAGGTCCAAGAGAGTACATGGCTTCAAGAAGGGCTAAATTGAATTATGTGGGTAACTCACAATGTAAACGATTCCACAGTACTAAATTATACAGAGAAAAACAGCAAAGTTTCCCTGTATGTCTATCTTTTCTTTTTCCAAAAAAATAGTTAATTCTTTAACATCTTATTTATTTGTGTGTGTTTTTGTGCGCACATTTGCATATGTGCACACATGGTCGAAGGGCAGAGGATGACTTGCGGAAGTCACTTCTGTCCTTGCATGGCAAGGGTCCTGTCAGGTTTGGCACTGGGCACCTTTACCTGCTGAGGTATCTTGATGGGCTGTTAACTTCTTTCTCCTATGCATTTGGATGTATATACATTACATAAACATGTATATATATACATATATATACATATACATACATTTGTGTATATGTATGTATTTACATAAATGGAAATAATTTTCACTTTTTGTCCCCCTTAGAGTCTTTATTTCCCTTCTTTCAAGGTCCCTTCCGCCCACTCCTCCCTATAAATAGTGAGTTCTAGCCTCCTGAACACCAGTCTCCGTGATGGCACCAAACGCTTCTCTCCAAGTTTGCCCTTTTCCAGTAATGGTGCTTAAACCTGCAGCTTCCCCGGGAGGGCTCCTGGAATGTCCACCCCACCCCAGAGTGAGTGTGCGCCCTTCATACCTGTGACCCTCCGGAGCCTTCATCATCGAACAAATACCTGACGATGGTGCCGTCTGCGTGACCTGAGAGGATGCCTTTCCCAGAGCAACTGAAGGGCAGAGGCAGAGAGGTGGGCACAGAGGGAGGGACTTCCGCCCCGTGACAGTCCCCTTTCCATCAAATGCAGCTTTGTCCTGACAGTCCCAGTCTACTTCTGTTATTCACTTGGTTGTCAGCGCCACCACATACGAGTCTGTCCCATAGATGGTAGACGACTTGTTAGTTTTAGTGTTTGCTTATCGAACCTGAAAACCAAACAAGTCTGGCTAGGCTACTTACAGTGTCAGCCAGGCACGGAGAAACAGAAGTAAAAACGCCAAATGACAAAATTAGTCCTCATGCATTTTTCTCAAGTATGTACTTGAGCTCCAGGGGAAAGATGAACCATATTGCCAGGCACCCCAGGACACTATCCCCCCCTAATACCTCACCTGTGTCTCCCTCTCCTCCGTTACCTTGCCTTCAGCCAGTCCGAAGACAATAATGTACTCTGCAGGCCACTGTAGACAGGTGACAGCACTCTGTATGAGAAGGGGTGAAAGGGTGACCCGCCTGTGTGGACTGGCACACTCAGAACAACCGCCACCCACCACACACCGTCATTCTAGTCCTCTCCAGGGGGAAAAGGCAGGCAGCGGACACAACAAGGCTCTCAAGCAGGTGACAACACCATTCTTTAGCAGGTCAAGTCGGGGTCAGACATTGAAAAAGGCAACTCCTGTTTCATTTACAAGGAGGGAAGCAGGTGCGGCTCACCTCTGAACTTTACCGTCTGGATGAACTTGTTACAGATGACCTTCTTGTCACCCCTGTCAGACAAAAGGCAAGGAAGCAACCTTAAAAATCACTTCCCAGGGGCTGGAGAGATGGCTCAGTGGTTAAGAGCATTGCCTGCTCTTCCAAAGGTCCTGAGTTCAATTCCTAGCAACCACATGGTGGCTGACAACCATCTGTAATGAGGTCTGGACATAATATTGTATGCATAATAAATAAATAAATATTTAAAAAAAATCACTTCCCAATGAACTGCCCAACATGGCCCTCTGTGGGAGGTCTGATGGAGAAGTGAGTGGGTCCCCAAGGAGCCCTGGAGCTATGCCAATGACACAGCATATCACTGGCTCTCGGGACCTTCTGCTGGCTTACACTCATCCCTCCAGGGATGGGACTGCAGGACAGGTGGGGCAGGCAGAGGTGGACACAATAGAATCAGGCTCTAGAGAGTCCCTGCCTTCCATGCCTGATGTCATCGTTATCCCAGCGAGGTATTTCCCATGCCCAACTCTTCTTTAGTGGCCACAACCCGCCTAGCCCCCATCCTGTCCTCACCAATCTTCTCCAATCTTGTAGGCATAGATGATGTTGTCAGTCTGTCCGATGGCAATTTTAGTGGAATCAGGGGAGAAAGCCATGCCCTTTACCATGTAGCTCTTCCAGCCACACTAGGAGTAAAAACAAAGATAATGAGTAGAAATGAAGGAGAAAAGAAAAAACACACATTTCCCAAAAGACCAGAAAGTTTATAGCGAGAAATAGAGTAGACTATTGCCCATGTCTACGGCTAGAAGGCAGATCACACAGCTTTCTCGGATAACGTGTTGGAGCACATGTGAGTCCTCTTTACCTTCATGTCAGCTGGCTTGGTGGAGAACTTGTCTCTCCCGCTCCCCATGCTCATCGTACAGCAATACCACTCGGTCCACTGTGCAGACAGCATATTTAGCGTTGTTCTGGGACCAGGCCATACAAGTCACCTTCGCAGCTCCATCTTGCAGAGGCAAAGGGGTACTGTAAACACAGCGCTGGTCTCCAGAGTACAGAGCGTCTCCAGGTCCATCAGTCTTCGTGTGCCTTTGTTCTACATCTACGTCACAGGTTTTCTCTCAAAACTAAACAAAATGAGACAAATTGCTCGGATACCTGAACTGTAAGAATAATAGTCTCCAGGGCCTCACGTGGCCCAGACGGACCTCAGATTCACTGTACGGTAGGGATGACTTGAACTTCTGATCCTCCTGTCTCTACCTCCTGAGTGCTAGGATTCCAGGCGTACACCACCCTGTCTAGTTTATACCATGCCGGGGACAGGACTCAGGGCTTCACTCGAGACAAGCAAACACTGTACTACCAGGCCACATCTCCTTCTCACCTAATGTGTTTTTCTGAGACTCATGATACAAATGTAACGCATCAACCGTTCCAAAAGCAATGGCCTCCTTGATCCTTCATCTTTCAGGTCTGCGACTGAAAAAAAAAATCAATTAATCTGATAAATTTTAGCCTTTATAGCTACTCATTCAATTAATGTTTTCCAGCACTTTACTGTCAAAGACACTTGGCTGGAAGACGACAGATAGACAAAGAGCAAAGCACAGATCCTACCCTAGGTTCTAATTGGACGCTGAGAAATTGGAAATGTCCCATTAGAAAAATATGTTCTGAGTATAGTAATAATTTAGAGAAGTCCAAGACAATTTTATGCTTAAATGGTCAAGATTAAACTTTGAAGAAGGGATGCCATCGAATGGTAAATTACTTCAGATGTAATGAGTAGCATGAACAAAGTCAAGCTCTGGCCAAGGACCAGCAATTTAAGGAAGTTGAGACTGCCAACAAGAGAGGAGGCAGGGCAGGAAGCGTAGACTGGGTTAGCTCAGGAAGCGTAGACTGGTCTAGCTCAGGAAGCATAGACTGGGCTAGCTCAGGAAGGGCCTCTGGAGGCCGCTAACGATTTGGATTTATTGGGCAGGAATACAGAGACAGTGTAAGTTTGGAAACAAGGAGCAACAGAATTAGAATTGAGACTTGGGATAAACAATGTCACTTTCCCCTGTTAAGTGTCCACTAAAGGTTCGTGGTGAAAGTGACCACTGCAAAAACGGGTACAGCCCAGATAATGGGGCGCTTGTCTGGCATTCATCAGTCCCCAGGTGTGAGCCTTCGCACTGCACAAGAGTAAGCAAAGAAATAAAAAGAATATGGGAATGGCAGGTAAGACGGCACACGCCTGAAATCTCAACACCTGGGAGGGGAAGGCAGGACGGTCAGACATTCAAAGTACTCCACAATTACACAGCGAGTTTGAAGTCAGCCTGAGCTATATGAGACCCTGACTTAAAAAAGAAAAACCAAAAAAGAAAATACGTGATCACCACACAGTGAATTACTCTGCGTGTCCCTCACCAGCTGTCCTCTCAGGCTCCTGAGATGAAATTTGGCTCCTACGCCAAATGTTGGATTCACCACTTGGGCTACTAGAGATCTGGCTTACAACACCTTTACTTTCTACACCTAACCCAAATACGTCCAGAGCCAGCAGGGGGATCACTGCCCCCAAATCCTCAAACTACAACCAGAAAATAGCGGCACCACCACCATGGTCATGAGCCAACCATTCACTACCATCGGCTAGAAGGGGGTGCAGGCGCCTCATCAGCTTTGGCTGCTCATCCTCCTTCAAGGCTGTCCATCCTGGGCATATGGTCCAGCTGCACCATGACATCATCTTTTTTTAGAGACCAAACGGTTCTATTTCCAATTTTTCCATTAGGGTATTTTGAAGTGACAGATAACAGTACCAGTTTACTGAGCAAGGAGTACAACTTTTTATTGTTCTACCACCGAGTGAGGGCTCGATCCCTTCAGCTTTCCTTTCTTCTAACCGACTTCTGCTCTCCTTACACAGTGCAAACATCCCCAAGACCCATAATCGATGGGGACGCGTTTCTCTGCAATACGTGCCTGACTGGACTGCCTGGGGGTTGAGTGGAATGGAAAGTAGAACAGGCATTTTCATAACTGCTTGACACCCAGTCGGTACCTCACCTCGTATCTCTGAGGCAGAAGCTATTATGATTCCCATTTTACATATGGGGAAATTGAGGCACTGAAAATTAAGAAAGGTGCTCAGTCACACATACAGTTTTTAGATGACAGATGCAATATTTGAATCCATGTATGTTTGATTCCACAAGCTATAACTCTGTCTTTATGCTGTTGTGGCATATGTATTAATGACTTAATTCAGCCATATACTTTTTTTTTCAGAATAGGAAAATTTATTACTGTGCTTCCACTGTCAAAATTTAGGATCTTGGTCTTTCCTTCTTGCCTTTGTACAGGGCCAAAAGGGACATGTTGGCTACTTTAACAACCTTAAAGTAGACTCCAAGGAATATCACCTACAGCATGACCCTTTCTACCAAATCCAGCAACCAGAACTTCATCGTTTTCCTCAATGAAGTTCAAGCAACCATCATTGGGGACGAAAGCTGTGATCTTCTTGGTGTTCTTGATGAGCTGCACCCTGACACACTTCCAGATAGCAGAATTTGGCTGCTTGGCTTCAACTCCTACTTTTTCCAGCACGATTCTCTTGGCATGAGAGGCACCTCCAAAAGGATTGGCCTTCAGGGCTGTGCCCAAGTGGGCTTTCATGTACTGTTTTTCATGCCACTTCTGGTCCCAGTGGGCTGCGGAGCTTCCTGGCAGTACGGAGACCATGACACTTGCTCATCTTGCCGATGCCACAGGCCCGAGAGAAAGAGCTCTGCCATATACTTTTATTTACTGTTGCCATTATTATTATTATTATTATTATTATTATTATTATTATTATTATTATTGAGACAGGGTCTCTCTATGTAGTCCTCTATCTCGTTTTGCAGACACCATGCCTGGCTATTCTTTTTTTTTAATTAATTAATTTTATTTATTTTGCATCCTGATTGCACTTTTCCCTCCTCACTATCCTTCCATTCACCTCCCCCCACACACACACACAATCCACTCCTCTTCTATTTCTATTCAGAGACGGGCGGGCCTCCCATGGGCGGCAACAAAGCACGGCATATCTTGTTGAGGTAGGACTACACCCTACTTCTCCAGGAAACTCTAAAAGTCACACATTATTCTTATGTTTTAAAAGGAGGTCTTGGCTCTGTAGTCAGGCTGGCTTTGTGCACACAGCAAGCCTCCCAAATTCTGCGATTACAGGCAGGCAGCACCATGATCAGGTAACAGATTTCTTTTTGTAGTACTCGGGACGCATGCAGAGGCTCACGCATGCCAAGCACATGCTCTAGTACTCAGCAACATCCTCTGCAAGTAGCATATTCTTTTTATATGTTGGGGGCCAATGTGCCTGTTTGGGTGTGCATGAAGAGGCCAGAGGTCAACATCAAGGGTCTTCCTCAATTGCTCTTCACTTTGTTCTTTTGAGACAGGGTCTCTCCTCTCACTGAACCTGGGGCTCATGAATCTGGCCAGCGAGCTCTAGGGACCCCCTTGTCTCTGCCTCCCCAGCACTGCAATTACAGGTGTGCCTAGCTTTCAAGTGGATGCCGGAGAGCTCGTGCTGATGAAGAGCCGTCTCCCCCACAGCCAGCCTTATTTGTGTTGTTAGCCTGTCCTCTCCATTTCCATGTCCTTCCCTGTGGTCTATCATTCTTCATACAGCTGTCCAATTCATAATGCCCTTTCCATTTGTCCCTTACACCTCCACGACACAAGGCAGCAACAGGAGGTCCAGGAAGAGTCCCGGTGAGGCCCCAGTGTTGGTAGTGTAGCCGAGACCAATGATTCTCTGCGATGAACATGTAAAGATGTATGGACAAAGGAGTATACCGTGTGACTCTCTGTGCCAGACTGCAGCTTCCCTGACGAGATTTCCCCTTTCGTCCTTTTTTCTGTTTTTCCTTTTTTATCTTAAATTTTATTTGTGTGTGGGGGGGGGTTGCAGGGGCAGAGGCTGGATGCAAGGGAACGGGAAATGGGTGAGATCGGGATGCATGATGTGAAAGACACAAAGAATAAATAAAAAAAAAAGAAAGTTAAAAGAATTTCTCCTTACATTTTATTGATTGTGAGTGGTGGGACGGTGCCTGTGTGGCGGTCAGAGAACAACTTGCATGAATTGACTCATTCCTTCCCGTGTGTGGGTCTCAGGGCTCACTCAGGGAGTCAGGCTTAGTGGTAAGTGCCTTTATCCACTGAACCATCTCACTGGCCCAATTTTTGTTTTCTTTTTTCAAGATAGTCTCATGCAGCCCAGGCTGGCCTTGAATTGTCTATACAGCCAAGAATGCACTCCTGACCCTCTTGTCTTCACTTCCCAATTGCTAGGATTTTCGGCCTTTGGCGCCACCGAACCATGTTTATAGTGTGTGTGTGTGTGTGTGTGTGTGTGTGTGTGTGTGGTGTGTGTGTGTATATGTTGAACTTTACTTAACTCTCTCCTAAGGTTCTTGGAGTTGCTCTAACTACGGCTTTTCTTTCCCAAATGACGAAGTTAATGACAGAAAGGCCACGTATGATGAGGGTTAAAGCCAGAGATACCTTTTGGTCAAATCAGTGCTAAACCTGAACTCCGATCCCTTCACTCCCAAACCTATCCTTCATGTTTTTGGGCTCCTCTCCTAGAGCCCAGCCGCTTCTGAATCTGAGACACACTTTCACAATTCAAATGAAGCATCAGCCTTGCGCTTATTTCATCCTGTGTAGATTTATGCTCGTTGTCTAGATATGCGCCTCTCCCTCACAGCCTGTGACGTAACTCGACCCCTAGAGCCTAAGCTTGGGGCCTGGCACTCAAATGCTGTATGCGGTGCCATCAAAGTTTGCGGTCTTTAGCAATTCACGTCGCCTACTGAAAGATATTTCACAATCTTCTGCACACAGCAGGCGCTCAACATTATAAACTTCTGTTACCCCACTTTTTTTCTTTTGGAACTCCCGGTGGCCGGGGAATGGGAGTCACGCGATTCCTCACCTGAGGGCTCAGCAGGGTCCTCAGGTGCTTCAACTGCGTGACGCCCAGGTCTCGGATGGTCGTTGACCAAGACAACTCCCGCGGTTACCTGGACAACCCGCCAAGCAGCAAAGGCGCCAGCCACTGACGCACAGGCAACGTGAGTGCGACATACGTCATAAGGTCACGTAGTGGGTTCGCGACCGTGCAAACCGGATGTGCGCAAGCGCAGTGAATCCTAGGGCGGGCACGTAAGAGGAGGTCGTCGAAGTCTGTCCTCGACCAATCCTGTACTTGCATGCAAACTCAACGCAAAGCCCCATCCGCAAGTCTTCGTCTGTCCCCACCCTCCCCAACCCCGCCCCTAGATCCTGTATCACTTTAACCCCAGCTTTTCTCCTTGCTGTAACCTGCCAAGTGTGCTTTAGTTGCTTTAACTCTGGAGAAGCACAAGGCAGGTGCTACGAGAGCGAAAGCCAGTTCGCAGAACTGCAGCCTCCGCTTTCCTCGCCAAAAGTTCTGTGACTCGCGCGAGGCCACTCAATACTGATAGGGACCAGTGAATGCTCAAGGATATACCTGTTTGAAGTGGGCAGAGGTACAGTCCCATTTTACACAACAGGAGGGGGTCACACGCCAAAGTTGAAATGGCTAATAAACGGTGGAACCGGGATTCAACCCAGAGCTGATAACCTTTTAATTCCCGTGAGACGATTCAAGTCTTCTCAACTCGTTGTCTCTTTGTTCAGCTTCTCTAACCTCTAACACGGTCTCAGGAAATGATCGGGGTTTGGTAGCACTGGCTAGGGAAAGGCAAGGCACCCTGTTTGGTCATTGGGTAAACGGTGAGTTCAAGGCTGCTTGCCGAAATCCAGATGTCTTTATGGGTCAGTGCAGCGGACAGAGCTGGGCTGGCCTCCTAGCTTAGAGCTGTGTGACACCTGGGGCTGGGGATTGACTAAGAAAAGATACTATTGTCTTTATTTTGTTTGATTGGAATGCTCTCAAGAATTTTTGTTATCAGATAGATTGACTGAAATTCAGAAAAGAAGGCCTTCTCTCTCTAAACGGTCCCAGGTTGGCAAGACTTATACCACCCAAAAAGCATAGCATATGATCTCCAGACCGAAGCTGGGTCCCAAAACCTTGCATGCACAGCGGTTGCCAATGGCAACGAATATTTCTCTCCCCACCACTACCTCCCTCTTGAAAAATTAAGAACGAGTAGAGGGCAGTTCCTATTTTTCACAGATAACACAAATAGGTCCCAGAACCCAGATTATAATTTTTTTCTATAGGGGCACCCAAACCCCTCTGTTTTATTTCTAGAATGCTCTGGATATGGTACAGAGTATAAATGTAAATGCCTTTGTGGATTACAATTATTAACGTTAAACAAACAGAGACATAGATGAAAGAGAAAACGGAGAGGAGGCACTGGTATGCACAGGGTGAGGATACATGGCACCAAGGGACACATCCGTGATAGCTGCTCTTTGGCTAGCCCCCCATGACCCTGCTCAGTCCTTCTGACCATTTTCCCAGAGGGAATGGTGGAGTTGAAAGAATGGGGAGGGGGTCGGTTATGTAACCCAGTGGTAGAGCATTTGCCTGGTATGCACAAGGTCCTGGACAAAGATAAAAGAAAGAAAATCTACTGGCCCTTTTATGGTGACATGGCCTGGTTTCCATTGGTGCAAAAACTTCTGTGTCTTCTCATTGCACCCCTCCCCCACATTTCAACAAAGCCAAAAAAAGGAGGCTTCTAGCTTCTGTACCCTTTCCTTGTCTTTTCTCCACCCGTCTTAGACGAAAACATGGACACAAACATCCTATAATGGGTCTGTTCCTTTAAGTTGGTGGTGGCGTGAGGGGCCCTTGGAGAGCTGAGAAGGTGTAGAGATGTCTTCAGCATACCATACAGTCACTTCTGGTTTGTCCAAGAACCTTTATTGGAAAAATGTCCCAGGGGTGAGATCACCAGCAGCGAGAGGGACTGCCAGGTGAGGGGGGAGCACCTGAGGCTCCGTGGAAGACATTGGAGTAGTGCAGTGTGGCATCTGCCTCGAGGCCCAGATGCTTGCTTCCTCTTCCTCCGTGGAAGAGGGCAATACAGACAGAAACAGCCCTCTCTGAGGCCCAGAGGCAAGCTGTAGGGGCAGCTAGTGGATGCCAATGGTCCTGATGCAGGTGAGATGGGGCCCCATTTGGGACCTAGTGGGATAGGGTCGAATAAATGACTCACCTGGACCTGGGAGATAGGAGATGTTCCATTTGATATCCACTCCCAGGTCCAGGGGTACAGATTCTAACAGACCTACCTTTTGGCCCTGCTCACAGTGGAAAGAGGATGGGTACCAGCCTGGGATTCTGGGAGTGCACAGCCTTGTGGGAGTCTCAGAGAGATCACCAACTTAGGCTTCCCTGACCCCACCCCCCATTATCAGTGCATCTCTCTTCTGGTTCTGGTTCTTCAGTCACTCAGTTCACTCAAACGTCGATGGTGTTGATAGAAGGAGACTTTTTCTATGAGAGAAGATTACCCAAATCTCAAATTTCAGACAGGTAAAGGTGCTGCTCCCGCCTTCTGGACTCCTTCATCCCAGACATCCCATTCCCGCCCCACCCCCCTTTGCTGCCTGTTCTGCTTTTCACTGAATACTCCTGGGCACCCAGATCACCCTTCTCACACTCACTGGTCCCCACGTCACCTGTCTTGTCCCCACTGGCCTTCCCTGAGGACTCTGTTCAGGAC